GTATCATATAGTCGGCCCTGCCGGCTTTTGACCTTACCTTACTGGTTTATCTTGTCAAATTTCAGTGCATAGGTGAAGGTTTCCATCTCTAATGCGTATAAATGCAAGGGATTTGTAAATATAAACTTTGACAATGAGATGTTGTCAAATGAATAATTTTGAAAAAAAAAAAAAATAAAAAAAACTGTAAGTTCGGCCTGGCCGAACTTTGAATACCCTCCACCATTTGGCACGAATTTGGTAACTTAAAAAAATAAAATAAAATCCGTTAAAAGTTCAGTTTAAATCTTAAACATACCGAATGTAGAGGTTACAATAGGGTCTATGGACCTGCATAGGCCACTTTTGTCAAAAGCCATTACAATACTCAAATGCGAAGCTTGAAAAAAATATGTTTATAATATAGCTAAAATCACCAAATTACCGAATATCGGGAGGTACCGTTATATGGGGGCGACACCAAAACGTGAACCTGCACAGACAATTTTCTGTATTATCCATTGGGAACTTCAAATACCAAATTTGAAACAATTCCGGTGAATAATGTCGCTAAAATCATCAAAATACCGAATATCGGGAGGTACCGTTATATGGGGGCTATGCGAAGACGTGCAACTGCGCAGACAATTTTCTGTCATTGACTGTAGTATCCATAAGCAAATACCAAATTTGATACAATTCCGGTGAATAATGCGCTAAAATTATCAAAAATATCGTTATATGGAGGCTATACGATGACGTTGGCCTTTTTTGTCATTGGCTGTAATACCTTTTATGAATTCCAAATACGAAACTTGAGACTACTTCGGTGAATAATATCCCTAAAATCGCCAAAATGTTGTATATCGGAAGGTACCGTTGTATATGGGCTATACGTGCCGTTGTATGTTTGCTATACGTTATCGTGGACCTATATAGAAATTTCTCTTCCAGAAAGTAAAGTGCTTGGATAGAACTTCTAGTATGCATTTTTTAGACATTTCCATTGAAAATGGAGTTATAATCATCAAAATATTGGATATCGGGACGTACCTTTATATAGGGACCATACGATATCGTGGACCCTCTTCCAGTGGATAAAGTACTCACACGAAAACCCTTGTGTGGATTTTCAGACAATTCCATTGAAAAATGTGACTAAAATCATAAAAATACCGAATATCTGGGGTACCGTTATATGGGGGCTATACGATATCGTGGACCGATGTGGACATCTTCGAACTTGACCTATCTGCAGGCAAAAGACAGATCTGTGCAAAATTTTACCTTCCTATCAAAATTCGTTTTGACTGTAGCGTGATTACAACAAACGGACGGACAGGGCTAAATCGTCTGAGAATTTTACGCTGATCAAGAATATATATATATATATATATATATATATATATATATATATATATATATATATATATATATATATATATACATATATATATATATGTATATACTTTGTTGGGTCTATAATTATTATTTCGATGAGTTGCAACCAGAATGACGAACTTAATATACCCTCCATAGTATGTATGGTGGAGGGTATGAAAATGGTATTGAGGAATTGGGAATAGATTGAACTGATAAATTTTGTTGAGGGTTAAAATTTTTTTTTAATTTTTACCTTTGGGGTATTTGGGGCGTTGAAAAAAAGCAGATTTTTGGAAATTCGTAAATTAAAGTTGGAAATTATACATGAGTGTAGAAAATAGTCCTGCGTTATCACTTACCGATTTATTAGAGCTATAACTTTGACATTTGAGCAAATGTTGAGATAACACAGGAATTTAAGAAAGGTTAAAATATGGTCAGAAAATTCGAAAAAATCGTTATAGAGCATTTCGAAATCCTATACCCTACACCACAAGGTGGTCAGGGTATTATGTCTTTGTGCATTTGTTTGTAAGAGGCAAAAGGAAAAGAGATAGACCCATAGTTCCTTTTGATGATCTGCATAGAATCACATTCTGAGTCGATTTATGCATGTCCGTCCGTCCGTCTGCCTGTCTGTCCGTCTGTCCATGTATTTTTGTAAACAAAGTACAGTTCGCATTTATTGCCCTATCCAGATGAAATTTTGCACAAATCATTTGTTTGGCCCAAAGACGAACCCTATTGAAATTGGAGATATTCGGTAAAAATTTAGATATAGCTCCCATATATATCTTCGTACGATTTGCCTTTTATTGTGCACCAAACGTCTAATATCTGCCCGAATTGTATGGAATTTCGCACATACAACCAAATTAGACCTGGAAATAAATATGCCAAACTTGAAGAGTTACAAACAGAATGACGAACTTAATATACCCTCCATATTTCAGATATAGCTATAGCTCCCATATATATTGTTCATCCGATTTGTTATTTTTGTCCTCCGCAACCGTAATATGCACTTTGTAACAACAATATTTGGGGAAATATATCAAATGCAGCTCAGAAATACTTTTGCTAAATTTTATTGATATCGGTTCAGATTTGGATTTAGCTTCCATATATAACTTTGTCCGATTTACCTTTTATTGTTCACCAAACGTCTAATATTTGCCCAAATGAGATGGAATTTGGCACATACGATCGAATTGAGTCTAGAAAGTAGTATGCCAAATTTGGTAAAGATCGATTCAGATATAGCCATAGCTACAATATATATTCTTCACCCGATTTGTTATTTTTGTCCTCCGCAGGCATAATATGCAATCTGTAACAACAATATTTTGGGAAATGTATCAAATACAGCTCAGAAATATCTTTGCCAAATTTAATCGAGATTGGTTCAGATTTGGATATAGCTCCCATATATATCTTTGTCTGATTTCAAATTAATTATTTTAACTAATTTTTCAAATTCAATTATATTTTTTATCAAATATTTTGCCATTACTATTCTTAATTTTCCGATCGACTTATTTCTTTTTCATATTTGTCGCCATTACCGTTCCTGGGTTATTCATCTCCACACACTATAAACTATAACTACTTCTGATGCGGTTGTTGCTCCTTTTTTCCGGTTGCCACATGAAAAGAAGGAACAATTTTAATTACACTTTTGGTTTCTCATTTTTGTTATTTTTTTACTTCTTTTTTCACATTTTTTTCTCTCCTTACTTTCCAAATGTTCAATTTATAATCATTATTTATGCATGAGATACAAGATGCTTTTAATTATTAAAAAATTCATTTGCATTCTTTCGTTTCGTTTTATTTGCTGCTGTTGTTGCTGCTGCTGCTACTAAACAACAAAATACGAAGTATTGGAAGAGCAATAAAAACCATAAACGCTGCACTCACCGAATGTCTGACTGACTGACGGGGTCCTGCAGCACTACTGCTGCTGAGGTGTTAGAATGACGAGAAACACTCAAGATGGCCTTTTCGGTGTGGCTGGCTTAGCTTGTTAAGCCAAGTCAAAGACACTTGACGAATTAATGGACATCTCTAATTAAGGCAGGGAATTAAAGAAGAAGACAAAAAAAAAAAAAAACAGCATCGGTAAACCGAGCAGCTAAGGATGGGAATAAGTTCTTAATGGCTAAAGAAAAAGAGTTGATCAAAGGGAATTAAAGAATCAACATAATTGCGAAAACCGTGTGAACAGGACAGGTGTTAGATATATAGTTTTGTGGCGAAGGTGGTTTAGAGCTGAGTTTGGTTTTTAATATTTTATAAGGGCTAAAATAAATGTTATGATGGAATATCCCACCCCGACTAATAGGAGATTACTGATAGTGATGGAACATCTTATGACTTGTGGAAGAATACATTTTGATATTTTTAAAAGTCGAGATATTCTATGACACAGTATAATTTGAGAGCTTTACAATCCGCGGACACAATTTTTTTTATAAAGTTCCCAATTAGGTAGACTGTAAGAAAGCAAAATCCCAAAAAAATTCACAACTAATTTCAAACTATGACTTACCTCCTACCACTACCAAGGGTATTTCCTTTCTCGGAATCTATTTCAATGCCAAAGGCAAAATTCTAAATCAAAAGACAATGTGTATATGTGTTTTGGGCAGCGTGAACTTCCTTTATATATCCAGGGACTTGCAAGCGCCCTGGATAGCCTGGATGCCGTAACGTATATATAACATTAAAAGCCAAGGCCGGCTTAGTGAGATATTTGATTAAGATTGAATTTGATTGAAAAATTTAATTCCAGAAGACAGAAATACGTCGGTTTTGCGGAAGACGTGGCATATTTTATGAAATACTTAAAATATTTAAATATATTTCGTGATTTGTTTGATTTTCAGTTATTAGATTTAGACATACTGACTTATAGGGACATTCAGACGTATTTCTATTAATTCCTCTTATTAAGTACTCTTAAATCTACTTTTCCAAGGTGAAGGTTATAAATCCACCTAGAAAAGGAGGGTATACTAATTTTGTCATTCCGTTTGTAACATCTCTAAATATTCGCTACAGACCCCATAAAGTAGATATATTCATAATCAGCATTAAATTCAAAGTCGATTTGATGATGACCGTCTGTCTGTCCGTCCGTCTCTCTGTTGAAATCGAGATACAGTCCACATTATTTGACGTAGAGCTCGAAATTTTGGCATAACAATATGTATTATGTCTAGGATGGTTCATATTGAAAATCATATATATCGGTCCACGTTCCTAAATAGGGATATCGAACAGTTGTAGTTCATTTTTTCCAAGACCACCTCCATATTTCCAAGATCACCTGATAGGGTTTTTCGATAGTTACAATATATACTTTCAAAACACTTTCACAGCTACACATGAACAGGGATTTCCGGATTTCACCCAATACCAAATTTTCTTTTCGTCAACTTGTGGTACCTTTATCACTAAACACCCATAGGGGGGTCCCCAATACAATACCCTAAACCAAACTATTCTAAATGTCAGGATGACAGAGCAACAGAATAAATTCGGTTTTTGTTAATAGGCACGACATATCTTATGGAATATTTAAAACAAATTACTTAAATATCTACCACGGTTTGTAAAGCAAATGAATGACTTACCCTGCCCAATCAGTATTTATCGTATCCCATTCAGTATATTTATCTTCTTCATATTTCCATTTTCGTTTTGCGTTCTTTCAGATGTATTATTTTCGACCAATTTTAAGGAAACTCCATTATTGTTATGAAGACAGTTCTAATTCCACATAATATTTAATTAAATTGCTTATATGAGGATATTTTTCAAATCATATGTGAAATTCCATTGAATTTTCGTTTTCAAATATTTTTTTTTTTAATATGAATTTGCTTATTTTTGTCAATTTCGAATTTGAATTTCAATGCCAACTTGATAACATACAAAAAATGATTACAGGAAGAACTCAGTAAATTATTAAAGGACTAAAAATAGAAGACAAGTGTACGGACTTTTTGATAACTTACATCGAAGAGTAAGCAAAATAAAAAGGAAAAAGTTCCCACATCTTCGCCTTTTTTTAAAATTTTCCGACTAAAACTCCTTACAATTCGTTTATTTGTAGTGTCTTCGGCAATATTACTGATAATAATACGAAGATTATTTTGGTCTGATATTTAAGGCCTCAAGCGAGTTAATATTTTGTTTTTTTTTTTATTATGAAAAAAACTCTCTTTAAACAGGATCGTAGCAAGTCAAAATATTCCTTGAAATTATTAGCCTTAAAAATCTACTATAGGGTGGGATGAAAAAACTGCAACAAACTTCAGACTGCTGTCATTTCCAAGCCACTCGTCCGACAGCCGTTAAAATTATTCCAGTGACAGCTCATTATGTTGATTACAAGCGTACAAAAGCATTTCATTGGTCGTTTGAAGGCCATAATTCGTGCCAAAGGTGACCGATTCGAACAAATCTAAACTTATTCTAAAATATGATGCTACTTCCGACATTTTTTGCTTTCATTCAATAAAATTAAAAAAAATGTAACCAAATCCGTTTTTGGAATCGATCTAGAAATGTTTGTCCGTCCATCCATTTGATGCACACGATAACTCTCCAAGGGAGCCCCCGTTTTGGCTTAGAAAACTTAGATCGAGTTCGAAGATGAGCAATATTGGTCCAATCCTACTGGTACCTACCTCAAATAAGGTCAACAATTTCAAAGAAAATAATTTTCCTCATACAACAAAAGCAAATCATCCAATTTTGTTCAAACTGTGCAACCAAATAACCATATCAGTGCTAGGACGATACCATTCTACTGTCTCAAGTACCATCCTTACAAAGGGTCAAAATGTTGAATAATTTTATCCCTCATAAAATGCATAATAACCATCTTATTTAATGTAAAATTCAAACATTCCCATACTTTTACAAATACACATTCTGATAAATGATGTTTTGTTGGCAATTAACAAATTTGCCGTGATTATTAGATGTCAAAGCGAAATAAGTTTTTTCGCCTAGAAAAAAACAAAAAAATGACATCAAAACGAACAGACAGAGCTGTATTTTTTACCAATTCGCTTCCTGGCCGACCTTATACGAAGATTATTTTGGTCTGATATTTAGGGCTTAAGCGAGGTAATTTTTTGTCTTTTCTTAAAATATGAAAAAAAAAAAAAAAACTCTCTTTAAACAGGATCGTACCAAGTCAAAATATTCCTTGAAATTATTAGTCGTAAAAATCTACTATAAGGTGGGATGAAAAAACTGCAACCAACTCCAGACTGCTGTCATTCCTAAGCCACTCGTCCGACAGCTGTTAAAATTATTCCAGTGACAGCTCATTATATTGTTCACAAGCGTACAAAAGCATTTTGGTAAGAATTTTCCAGAAAAATTATTATTTGTGATGGAATTCAAGCGTGATAGTGTGATTTCTTTAGATTTGACTGGAAAATCACAAGTGGCTATCGTTAGAGCACTCCAGCATTTAAATGTGAATAAATCTTTTCTGTCTCGTACCATCGCTTGTTACCGTGATACTGGTAGCGTAGCCCGACGTCAAGGAAGTGGACGGGAAAAAACAGCAACATCAGCAAAAATGGTTCGAAAAGTAAAGAATCTACTTGATCGAAACCCGCCTCTCAGTGACCAAAAAATGGCTCGTGACCTGAACATATCCCAATATTCGATTCGGCAAATATTAAAAAATGAGCTAGGGCTAAAGCCATTGAAATTCCAAAAAGTGCAAGAACTTACACCGCAGCAGAAAGAAGATAGATTGCTTCGCTTGGCCGAAATTGGTTAACTGCCGAATTTTGTTTTCTACGATGAGAAAACATTCGTTGTCCAGCAGTTTGTAAATAAACAAAACAATCGCGTTTACTTACCAAAGAGGCTAGCTGAAAATGTGTTCGGTTGGCCACCAGAACTCAAGCGCCGGCCATGGTGGTGGTGTGGGCCGCCATAACAGAAAATGGTAGCTCTACGTTCGTATTAATCGACAGAGGCATCAGAAAATATGCCAAATATTGTCCGAAAATATTGTGGAGGGTGTATTTAAGCCTTGTGCACGCAAACATTTTGGCCGCAGACACTGGAAATTCCAACAGGACACAGCACCATTGCACTCAGCACGCGCCACCCAAGAATGGTGACAAAATGTGGTTCTTCGCTTCATTTCCAGCGCACAATGGCCACCAAAGTCTCCGGATAACAATCCGTTGGGCTGTTGTGTCTGAAGTATTTTAGAAAACAAGGTTGGCACTAAAAAATACCAAGGTGTCGATGACCTCAAGCAAACACTTCGCCGGGAATGGGTTAAAGTACCACAGAGCAACATTCGGGCAGCGTGTGACGGTTTAATTGGCCATTTGAAGGCCATAATTCGTGTCAAAGGCGACCAATTCGAACAAATCTATACTAATTTTAAAATTCGATGCTATTTCCGACATTTCTTGCTTTCATACAATAAAATTAAAAAAAAAAATGTAAAAATTATGTTGTTTGACTTTGTTTTTATATCACCCAGCATGCTTTATTCTGAGATTTATGGTCAAATTTTGTCAATTTTCAAAAATGATGCTTTATTGTAGATTTTTGCATAAACTCACATAAAGTATGGTTTTAAGTCTAAAACGTGTTTGTAATATATATAAATCCTTGGCGTTTAGGTAAGATTAAGCCCCTTGACGTCTTCTAGGACCTATATTAGAATTCAGTGTTTTTCTATTGCCTAATTTTTTGTTTTTAAATATGTTTACTTTCCACAATCCCGTTTAAAGTGACTTTTAAAACAAAGAATCAAAAAGGTTGATGACTTAAGCGAAGGCTAAAATTTTCCTAAAAATGTTTGTAGTGTGACGACGAAAGTCATTTCATTTGTTTTCGTCCCCACTTTGTTGTTTAATTGTCAAATTGTCAAATTTATTTGTGTAAATAATGAATTATTTATATAAATATGAATTTTCATAAACACCGCTTTTTATTTCCAAAACTTAACCAATCCCCCTCATAATTATTTACATCGATTTCTTGTTTGGCATTGATTTTAACACTGGACAGTTAGGTTCAATGACCGTCATATTCAAGGCCACGCAGTAACAGCGAGCAATGTTGTTAGATCAACGCACAACTGCAATGACAATGCACTGCACCAATGCATAGGCAGCCAACAACAAGCAAGCATCACAACGATCGATTCAACCAAAGCATTGCGCCAATGCATAAACGCACAACAACAAACAAGACTCACTGGGCATTGATGCTAATGCATGGTAGTGGAGACCGGACAACGCAGGCATAGCATAACAACAAAGACCATGCATGACAGTGAACCATCGTTCGATGATGGCAAAGCGAATGCATGGAAGACAAAATTTATAACTGTTTTGTCTAACAACAAAAAGGCTTTGCCATAGAAAGCCTGAGATCACGTGACATGCTGCGATCCTATAAAAAGGAAAAGTTCTATGAGAAGTTCTTTCAGTTTTTGAAGTGAACAACAGCAAAGAAGTCAGGTGAGTCAGAGTGGTGACAAGATAGGAAAACTGTTAGAGGTGTCATAGCCCTTCGGTAACTCGTGTTCTCTAACTAGATTCTAAACCCTTGAGGTGTCGCAAAGCCCTTGGGTTCTTCGGGAATTTAGCCCTTGAGGTGTCGTAAAGCCCTTGGGTTCTTCGGGAATTTAGCCCTTGAGGTGTCGTAAAGCCCTTGGGTCCTTCGGAAATTTAGCCCTTGAGGTGTCGTAAAGCCCTTGGGTTCTTCGGGAATTAACCCCTTGAGGTGTCGTAAAGCCCTTGGGTTCTTCGGGTTTCTTCGCTTCTAACCCCTTGAGGTGTCGTAAAGCCCTTGGGTGCTTCGGGAATTAACCCCTTGAGGTGTCGTAAAGCCCTTGGGTTCTTCGGGTTTCTTCGCTTCTAACCCCTTGAGGTGTCGTAAAGCCCTTGGGTGCTTCGGGAATTAACCCCTTGAGGTGTCGTAAAGCCCTTGGGTTCTTCGGGTTTCTTCGCTTCTAACCCCTTGAGGTGTCGTAAAGCCCTTGGGTGCTTCGGGAATTAACCCCTTGAGGTGTCGTAAAGCCCTTGGGTTCTTCGGGTTTCTTCGCTTCTAACCCCTTGAGGTGTCGTAAAGCCCTTGGGTGCTTCGGGAATTAACCCCTTGAGGTGTCGTAAAGCCCTTGGGTCTTCGGGTATTAACCCCTTGAGGTGTTTTGAAGCCCTTGGGATCATCGTATTTATCCCCTTGAGGCGTTAAAGCCCTTCGGGTCTCTTCGTTTGTAACCCCTTGAGGTGTCAAAGCCCTTGGGCCTTCTGGTATTAACCCCTTGAGGTGTTTTGAAGCCCTTGGGTTCGTCGTATCTATCCCCTTGAGGCGTTAAAGTCCTTCGGGTCTCTTCGTTTTTAACCCCTTGAGGCGTCAAAGCCCTTGGGCCTTCTGGTATTAACCCCTTGAGGTGTTTTTGAAGCCCTTGGGTTCATCGTTTTAACCCCTTGAGGTGTAAAGCCCTTGGGTTCTTCTTTATCAACCCCATTGAGGTGTTCAAGCCCTTCGGGTATCCCCGTTTAATCCCTTGAGGTGTCTACAGCCCTTGGTTTCTACGTTCTTCAATCCCTCGAGGTGGGGTGTTTTCGACAAACACAGGAGGATAACCAGCATCAGAAGAGCAAGGACGCTAAATTTGCCGCATTATATACCAAAATCTATATATACTTTCTTACAAGAGCTGTTTAATATAAGTAAACCCCAATCAATTCTGAATAAACGTTATTTATTTTGCTTAAAACACAAACAACTTGCGTTTTTTACTCTCTCGGTCACTTTATAAATTTCTGTGGCAGACCCTAGACCCCGCGAGCATACCTTAGCCAGAAGAAGGG